TGATAACATAAATATTCAAGTTTATTCATAAAGATAACTCATTATCTCAACCTCTGCCTATAATCCATTTTCCAGCTCAAATCAGATCATCAAGAAGAAAAGAAAAGGCCGTAATCAAGGATCTCAGAAGCACTTCAACCTCGGACTCAGGTGCTTAATTCTCATCAATTATATAGTAACAAATATGGTTAGACTTTTTTTATATATACAAACAAATAAGTAATATTCTTAAATGTCTTAATTGGTAATAACGTGGGTGAAATAGCACAATCATTACCGGTTTTAGGAATTTTGTAAATGGGTATATATTTTATAGCTGTTGAGATATCCCTCATACCTCTTTAATAATATACTTTTTTTTTGGGCAATTAAAAAATTTGAACCTTAGTAGAAGTCTCATGTTCAAACTTTAGAACAGATAAAAATAAATTTTGAAAAAGAGATGGCTATAATAAATAGCCTATGGGTTGATTTGTTGTATGGAATACATATTCCATTGTCAAAAGGATAAAATTAAGGTAAATGAGAATTATAATACATCCAAAGAAAATAAATGAATAAATAAATGATTCAGTCATAATTCTCTTCGTAATGTAAATTGTTTAATTAGAATACATGATTCAGCCATAATTCTTTAGTTCTTTAATGAACACCAAAAGAAGCTCAAGCTGATCCACATTATTTATCCCATTTTCAGGACCTTTCTCTTAATCAATGGCTGACATTGTAAGCGCAGTCATTAATGTAGTCAGCTGCATTTGCAATGCTCCAACTTGCAATTATATAGACAGCCATATAAATTTTGATGACGATGTGGAAGAGCTTAGAAGGAATTTGGCAGATCTAAACAATAGAAAACAAGATATAGAATCAAGAATGCTAGAAGTTCGCCTAGGGCAAGTGGTCAGACAAGAAGTGCAAGGCTGGAATCAGAATGTACAAACCATCAACGTTGAAGTGCAAGCTCTTTTAGAAAAGGTGCATAGAGCTAAGTGGTACAAGCGTGCCCATCTTGGTAAACTTGTTCGTAAAAAAATTGATGTGGTAAAGGCAATCTATGATCAAGGTGTTTTTTCTGAAGGCCTTGTAATTAACAGAGCTACAGTTGATCATGGAATTATTATTCCAACAGACAATTTAGTGGGTGAAATTTCTACCAAAGATGAAATTTGGGGTTACCTGATGGGCAATCAGGTTGGAATGATTGGAGTTATGGGGATTGGTGGAGTTGGAAAGACTACAATCATGAAGCATATTAATAATGAATTGTTGAGGGGGAATCACATGTTTCATAAAGTGCTTTGGGTCACTGTGTCTTACCCTCTTAATATTTTTGAATTACAAAAGAATATTGCTAGTGCTATGGGAGAAAGACTTCCAGAATATGAGCAAGATCAGGTGAGGCGAGCAGCAAAACTAATAAAAATAATGGGAAGATGGAGATATGTGCTGATATTAGATGATGTTTGGGAAATTTTTTCTCTTAAGGATGTTGGAATCCTGGAACCATCAGAGGACAATGGTTGCAAAGTAGTTATCACTAGTAGATCAGCTGATGTGTGCAATTATTTGGGTTGTAAGATTGTTAGAGTGCAGTGTCTTTCACTTGAGGAGTCCCTAAACCTATTCCTCGATAAAGTTGGACGTGATGTTTTACAAGTTCCAAAGTTGGAAGAAATCTTGAAGCTTATTGTGGCGGAGTGTGCAGGGTTGCCACTTGCCATTGTTGTTATAGCGGGGAGTATGAGAGGAGAATATGACATTCATGTGTGGAGAGATGCACTCAATGAATTACGTGAATGTGTGAAGAGAGTGAAAGGTCTGGAGGATGAGATATTTGAGCGTTTAAGATTTAGTTATGATCGTCTAAGAAGTTCAGAAGTCCAACATTGTTTTCTTTATTGCTCCTTGTTTAAGGAAGACTACCTGTTTTATGGAAGAAATTTGATAGAAGAATGGATTGATGAAGGACTGATTGATGTGTTGGCAAGTCGACAAGGAGCTTATGATAGAGGACATGCTATTTTAAATAGGCTTGAAAAGAATTGCCTATTAGAGAAAACTGTTGATCAATCTGGTAATGATGGTTTTAAGATGCATGATGTATTGAGAGACATGGCTATCAAAATCATTGGTCCAGAATTTGGATATGGGGCAAAAGCTGGTAGGAAATTGTTAGAGGTACCAGATGAGCATGAGTGGGTAAATCTTAAGAAGATGTCTCTAATGGCCAATGGAATATCAAGAATTCCTTTTGGTTTGTGCCTGAATTGTTCCACTCTTTCAACCTTGAACTTATCGGAAAACCCTTTGTGTGAGATCCCAGGATCCTTTTTTGAAAGTATGTCAGCACTTAAGGTTCTTGATCTTTCTGGTACTGGAATTGTGGTCCTACCTAATTCCATTTCTGGATTGGAGAATCTCACTACCTTGCGGTTACAGAGGTGCGGGAGGTTAGAGTATTTTCCTTCCATAGGGAAGCTTAGGGCATTGAAGAAGTTGGATTTGAAGGAGGCAAGGATTAAGGAGGTCCCTCAAGAAATGAAGAGTTTAACAAGTCTTGAATATCTTGATTTATTTTGTCCAGGTTTGAGAGAGCTGCCAACAGGAATATTATCCAACCTCTCGCGTCTCCAGTACTTAAGGGTATATTATGGTCTTGACTCATCAGCTTTAAAGATTGAAGGAAAAGTGGTTGCAAGATTGAGCAAGTTAGAGGCTATAGTTGGCCGATTCTCTGACATAGAGGACCTCAATTATTTTTCTGAATCTAAACATTTTGAAAGTCTTTGGGCCTACAGGCTATTTGTGGGATCAGAAGAAGATGTAGGTGCGTTTTTGAACTTCGCAAGACATGATTCCGTAGCTAAACATTTAATTTTTAGTAAGTGCAATATTGGAGGAGAATGTGTAGTGATTCCAAATAACCTGGAGACATTGCAGATCCGTTTCTGTTGCTGGGGAAGAAGCTTAAACAACTTGATGTTGTTAGAAAAAGAAATGGAGTTGACTTCTTGTACTATTTATGATTGTCAAGGCATGGAGTGCCTGTTTCACTTGAACTCATCCTCCTCATCATGCTATCCAGTACTGGACAAGCTTGAAATTCTCCACCTATATTCCATGCCAAGCTTGCAAGTACTTGTGAGCGTGGAAGGAGTAGCAACCCCACCACAATTCTTCTCCAATCTTAAAGATCTTTCTATAAAGTGTTGTTCAAGAATAAGGAAGTTGCTTCCACTTGAGCTACTGCAGGCCCACCAAAACTTAGAGAAGATTGAAGTTTCTGATTGTGAAGAAATGGAGGAGATAATAGCATCATCAGATTTAGATGCATCATCAGATAAATTCATTTTTCCCAAGTTAAGGGAATTGAAATTGATAAAATTACCCCAATTGAAGAGCATCTGCAGTGGTAAAGGAGTTATTGTTTGTGATTCTATTGAGGATATTCGACTAATTAGATGTCCAGAGTTAAAGAGGATGGCTGTGCAGCTTCCTCTGCTTGACAATGGCCAACTATCTCCTCCTCCTTGTCTCAGAGAAATATTGATACACAAAGACTCAAAAGAATGGTGGGAGTCAGTGGAGTGGGATCATCCTAACGCTAAGAAAGTACTTCAACCTTTCTTGAAATATTCTATCTGGTGATTAAGGGTATGATGTTAATTATCTTTAATTGCCACTTCATTTTAATTTTAAGATTCGTGATTTGCTTCAATTCATTTTCATATTCAATATATTTGTTGTAATTACAAATTCCATTTACTGAGTTGATGTGGAAGAGGATTGACAATTGGAGGCTCAAAGAACACTCCAGTCCAGCAGCCGTTTATAATTTTCTTCCATTTTCTTTTCTTTCATTTGCAAATTGCAATCCCTGATTTATTTATTTTAGTTGCTGAAAAACGAAACAATATCTATCATTTCTGCAGTTTGAAGTGAACATCAAAGGGAGTTACAGTTCCAGTCCAGTGGCTGTCTAACTTTTCAGAAATTGTCACTTGTGATCCCAAGTTCCCAACAACACATGCCAGTAAAATCCTTTCCTCGTCCAGTTCAGTGTCCTCAAGAATCATTGCTGAAAATTACATCCTCAAGAACCATTGCTGTGCTCTTTCACTTCAACTACTAGTAAGTATTTTGACTTGATTATTCCATTTCACTCTTTTATCTTCTTTTGCTTAATTATTTCTAAGGTTTTTATTGAATTTTCATAAGGGTTTTGTACTTTTTCTTTATAAGTTGGTTTCTGGGTTTGGTTTTCTTTCAATTAACTATTTTGTTTTTGGGTTTCTAGTTGGTGCTTTTTCAGATTGTTGCAGCTGTGAACTCTGCGAACTCTGGATGGCCTGCCTTTAATGATAATGGTAGATGTGTTGGTCTTGCATTTCAATCTTTGAAACATGAAGATGTGGAGAATACTGGTTATGTCATTCCAAGACCAATAATAGCATGCACTTCATTCAGGATTATGAGAAGATTGGGAAATATACAGGTATTTTTAGGTCTAGTGCTCTTTCTACTTGGTTTGTTTTAGAATTTGTGTGTGTAGCTTCATGAATATTCAAGTTTGCTCATTTCTTATTACTGTCTTGTCCTCTTTGGCCACTTACACGGTTCCAAGGTTCCTAATCGTTGGAATTGAGTAGCCAAAGAAGGAAAATCCTGATTTACACATGGTAGTGGGAATGAAATCAGATTAGACGGGTGCTTAACTGTTCATATTAGCTAATAGCTCCAGAATCTCATGTTCTGAAGCCATCTGATGTTATCCTCAGTGTTGAATGTTGTTGGTGTAAATATGGCTAACGATTGAACAGGTACTTTTTACCTTTATAGCTCCGTTAATGGGAGATGAAATAAATCATATTGATTAAAATTAGACCCCTTTCCCATTCGGATACCATTACAGACCTTTTGTTGTTCAAGATTTATACATTAATATGAGTATTCTAGTTCGTTTACTAATCTGATCTTGATCATTGTATTGCTATGTGTGAAATTGTTGGGTGAGAGATGGAGGGTGGGATCGATCTAGGTGGTTGAAATTTAATTTTATAAACAGAAGATTTCCCTCCAAGTTCATTGTGCTGAAAGAACTAAGAAAAATAAATTGGATGTCAGGTTTGCTGATAATAAGAAGGAACTTATATTTTTCAATTTTTCTAGTTATGGAGAATTTGAGGTGTTAATTATTATGACAAAGGGATTTTAATTTGCAGGCTGAACATGAACGTTGGAATTTACCATGCATTTCTTGTGGTTTTCAAATCTTTGAGATAGAGGTAGGGATAGGCTTAGTTATGCGCTATCCTCCATGAAAGGAGGGTGGGCAACCATGGAGGATGCTGTGAGTAACCAATTAAATCTTTTGTGCTCTCAATGTGTTTTAAGAATTTAGATGCTTTATTTCCAATAATACTTGCATCTCTTCTCCATTAGAGATATGTTTTACTTTAATAGTATTATTTGTTGTCATAGCAAGCAGCAGCATATCCTATCTGGGTGCAATTACTTTTTTCTTTGGTATATATGATGATGACGATGGATGTTGAAATTGAATGGCTTAAATAAGGTAGCTGTACAATTCATGTGGAGCTTATTATTTAGTACTGTTTTTAAGCTACTACCTTCTGTTCTGTACAAACTATAGTAACAAAACAGGACTAAATCTACAAAGAATCAATTTCTCAATCACTGCACAATATTTCTAAGCCCCATTTAGAAGCAATTATTAATTCTCAATCATTTGTCTAACATCTGCTAGAATTATTGCAAGCATGACGGATTCTGATCGGAAAGAGGCATTCAAACATACAAACCAAGAGGAAGGACTGCAAATTTTGAGTTTCTTTCTGTCTTGCAAGTTGTTCAACCTGTTGAGTTTATTTTTTTAGAAGAATTAGATGCTAAACATCCTACTTTGTAGTCTGTTTTGTTTGGTTTGAAGATCGAAGTCAAGTTACCAAAAGCACTGCATTGTATTATTTTGTTGCCTTGAAATTTGTATGGCTTCAACACTACAAAACTCGAGGTCAAGTTTTCACCAAATGGGGGAGAATGATGCAGATAAGGAAGGAAATAATATATTTATTAGGATTTTATTATGATTATGAATATATAAGAATTAAATGTAAATATCACTAGTAATTTATATTTATTAGGATCTATTATTATTTTTCAATAAAGATTCAATTGGGAGTCTTAACTAGGCAGTAAGTTTAATTAGGGTTTTAAATTTTTATATTTAAATATCGGCTGTACACTACTGGCAAACGCAGCATAAGCGACAATATTATATTCGACAGCCACATTTCTGTCGAAAATGTGTACATAATCGACAGAAAGATTGACGAAGATGTAAAATTAACGATGATAATGGAAATTTCTTGTTTAATCGACAGTATTCATATTCGACAGTTTTTTTGTCGAATATACAAATATATTCGACAGCCTTTGGCTGTCGAATATGTTTATTAATGGGAACGACATCGTTTTTTCTGTATATTCGACAACTTTTGGCTGTCGAATATAATCCTTCATATCACCCGCGCCTCACCTTTCTTCCCCATTTCTGGTTTTCCTCTGCGGCCGGTAGATCTGGTTTCTTCTCCGGCGAAGCTTGCTGTCGCTGTTCTTCCGTAGCGCCCCCTGTTGTCCGCTCCGCGCCGGTGCCGGTGAGTTTGCCCTTCTCTCGGTCAATTGATTGATTTATTTTTGCATGTATTTTCCTTGCATTGTTCAGCCTCCAGCTAGCGTCGACGACATCGGCAGCTTGCATTTTGGTTCAGCCTTGCATTTTGGTTTAGCCTCCAGCGTCTCTAAGCAACCATACCACGTGGAGGAGGTTTGCTAGAAGTTGCAGCGAACACAGTCGTCGGCAGCTTCTTTTTTTTTTTTTTTTTTTTTTGTTTTACTTGTTTTTTCCTTGGATATATTGCTTAATACCCCATTTTTGGTTTTTTGTAGGTTGAAATCCTGCTTTTATTGGTCCT